CTGTCACTATTTATTGTGATAGCATGAGTGTTATCTATTTGGCGAAAAATCAGGTTTTTCATGCGAGGACGTATCACATTGACGTTCGTTATCACTTTGTTCAAGATGTTCTTGAAGATGGTAATGTGGAGATTGTGAAGGTCCACACGAAGGATAATCTGACGGATATGCTCACTAAGGTGGTTCCGAACAACAAGTTCGATCATTGTCAAAACTTGTTACATATTCGTGATTATTGAGGCCGTTGACGGCCATTTGGATGAACTACGGGCGGCTTAATCCCTTGGAAGAGGGGGTACGTAGGCAACCACATTGGTGCAACAGAGTTTGGAGAGTCGACGTATTGGTGTTCTTTGTTTGGTGTCGGCTCAGTTTTGAAAAAACTTCACCAATGTGGAGAATTAAAGCGAATACAGGAAAATGACAGAAAAACGTTTTGAGCTCCTAGTGGTCGACCACAATGGCAGGCGCGGTTGACCAGAAACATGCACGAGACTGTAGGGTCGAAAAATTGGTGTTTGATTGATTCTCTTGTTTTAAAAAATGGGTTCGATCACTTGGTATGAAACCCTTACAATCACTCACACACTCTCTCGATTACAGATGAAGAGAAGATTAATTCAGCACCTCCTTGTTTAACGTGGATTCTTGATGGCGAAAGGATGCTTCCCCCAATGCTTGAGTCGAGATTTCCTCCCGTTGACGATCAAAATAAGATTGCTGAAGCTTCTCACTTTAGTTAGTCGGCTGGAATCAAAATTCAAACTCCGGATTTATACGCAGAAGCTATGATCTCTGATGATTCTCGAGGTCTAAATTGCCAAGAGTTTAAAAGTCTGAACCTCTCTTCATAGCTGCTTGCGGCTATTTATAGAGCTTTAGCATGTAATTGACGTGCTACAATCGTGGGGTCGTGGGTGTAACCGACTCCTGAGATTTAGCCCATGTTGATTAGCTACAATCGTGGGGTCGTGGGTGTAACCGACTCCTGAGATTTAGCCCATGTTGATTAATGGAGCGTAACGTACTCCTTAGATTTAGCCCACTGTAACCGACTCCTGAGATTTAGCCCATGTTGATTAATGGAGCGTAACGTACTCCTTAGATTTAGCCCACGTGGACTAACTTGGTCCTCGTGGCTGTTACAGTCGAACTTCGTGTGGATAATGAGCCTTGTTGCGTAGCTGTTTCGTTAGATAAGCTTCGTCTTCGCTGACGAGCTTCATCTTCATTGACGCGCTTCAAATCTTATTTCCAACGACAAGCTTTGTTGTTTTAAACGAGGTCCCCCATTGTAATGACCCTCGTCATGCTTGTTATGAGCTTCGACGCTCTAAGGCCAAATGATTAGCCGATTATCTATGAAGATCCATGAGAGTGGAGGAGAGATATGCTTTTTGACTAGCCTCTCAATCTCCCCTTCTTTTCATGTTGATAATGCATATTTATAGATTTAGGATCATTATGGAGTGAGTTAATAGGCTTTAACTCCCCTTATAATGAGGGAGTTATGATTATTAACTCCTATTTAAATACGTGAGTTAATTGTTATTAACTCTGCTTAAATGGGTGAGTTATGGGTCATTAACCCTCCTTAAATGTAGTCTCTAGAAATGGTAACAAATGAGGTTCGTCAATAACGGCAACGGCGAACTTCGTCTTCAATGACGAACTTCGTCTCCAATGACGAACTTCGTCTTTTGAGGGGTGAGGTGCCGTTTGACGAGGTTCGTCTGTGGATGAACTTCGCCTCCTGAAAGGGCTTCATTTCCTAGAGGAGTTTTGTCCCCAGTGATGAACTTTGATGTCGAGCCTCGCTGCATGGCGAACCTCGTCTTTTGATGTTGAACCTCGCTGCATGGCGAACCTTGTCTTCTGATGTCGAGCTTCACTGTGTGGCGAACCTCGTCTTTTAATGTTGAGCTTCGCTGCATGGCGAACCTCGTCTTTTGATATCGAGCTTCATTCCGTGGCGAACCTCGTAGGCGAAGCTGTCAGATGAGCTTCAATCAGTTCAGGTGAGCTAAGTTGTTAGGCGAACTTAGCATTACAGACAAACTTCAATGTTCAGGCGAAGTCCAGTCTTGCAGGTGGGCTTCAGAACATGCTGCGAAGAACGGGTCATAACTTTCAAACCGTAAGTCGGAATTGGACGAATTATATATGAAAATCGACTATCTCGACGAGACGGAGCCAACCAAACTCATCCCAAAGGGTTCGGTTTTCTCCTGTCTATTTCGCCAAATTCCTTACGATTTGAAAGATATTAGCATTTTTGTTAGTTTTGAGCTTCTTTGCTAGGAATTAAGGCAATTTTTATTGCCTATAGAGACCTGGAGAGGTCTCTGGATTTTTGGCGGTCGATCGCAGTGTCAAGAGCGGTCAACTGGCCAAACTCTGTAGTGATTCCTGCTTTCTGTCGTTAGATCCGGTCGACCACACGTGTCTCTACGGTCGACCGCGAGTCGGGCTGGGCCTAAGTTTCAGTTTTTCCTATTCGCTTTGGGTTTGCGTTTTAATATGTATTGAAACATGATTTTCTAGGGTTTATAATCATAGATTTTTGATTGTACTGAGTATATTGAGAAGGAGAACTTGTGAGAAAGTTGAGAGATTTTGTGAGGTTGTAACCCTTTGTATTCTCCTTGATTTAGTGGAATCTCCCCATCCTCTCCCTGTGGACGTAAGAAAATTGCCGAACCATGTATATCTCTGTGTTTGGTTTGATTTATCATATTCTGGATTGAATTGTGCTCTTGTGTGGATTGGTTTTCTTCTCTCGTGGCTCGTGGACTCGTTTGGTGTGCGAGCACGCTTCCGCATAGGCACGCAATGGGTACCCCAAAGTTTACAACATTTTTGACTTTGATATCATAATTCTTATATCTGATACTTTAACACCTGAAAGTTTACAACTTTTTAAACTGCGATACCGAAGGTTTTTTGTGATAATTTAATATCCTAAATTTTATAATTTTTTTAAACTTTGATACCCAAACATTTGTTTTTGACACTATACAGTGGCGTAACCAGAATTATTTTTTGCCCTGGGCGAAAAATAAAGGTTGTCTAAAAGACCTCATGAGTGCATTACAACGCCTTCCTCTACATCGTCGACATGTGCGCCGCCCTCAACTTCCTTAGGGAAAAAAAAGAAAACCTCCTCCTTAATTATGTATCGACACTGCTAGACTCATCCGAGAGTAATTTTTCAGGGTTGTGTGCCAATTTAATTACGCATCATAAATGATTAATTATCGTAATAAATTCTCTTTCTTAGTCCTTGACATAATCTCTACAGTTAACTATAAACTAATTCCAAACATTCTATGAATTCAGCTCAAATTATATACCGACGATGTTATATATATTTTCAAATCTTGCCCTGGGCAACTGCCCAAGGCAATGCTAATGTGGCTCCGCCACTGACACTATAACACAAAGTTTAGCATATCAAAGTTACCAAAATGTGTAAGCTTCAAATAAAAACTTGGGATAATTAAGGTTCAGAATGATGTAAAAATTAAAGTACCAAAGTGAAAAATATTAGGGGGGAAATAGAAACTATCATATACAAGAACATCAACATCCTTGTTAGAAAATGACAACTGAGATATAATATCCTATCTCTAAACCAAACATACATACTATTAGAAAACTTATTGTCATTTCAAAAAGAACCCATCTGATATAAAATTTATTATTGTTAGTATTATTATTTGAATATGCTATTTATGCACATGCAGTAGGGCTGAGCATGGTTCGGTCCAAACCGAAAAAACCGACCGAACCGACCCGAACCGACCCGGAAAAATCGGTTTTATGAGTAGGACGGTTCGGGTCGGTTTGAAAACTTTTCAACCCGAACCGACCCGAACCGACCGAATATAGTGCAATACTACCCATTCTGATCTCAAACCCTACTCGACCCGTCCCTAAAGAGTCAAAGACTCAAACCCTAAACTCATTTTCTGAATCATTATGGGTTGAAAACAATATCATTATATCAGTGTTTAATGCTTCATAATCTCCTATTTTGTTGATATCTTTTTTTCTTTAACATAGTTTGTTGTTTGATAAGAAATTTGATGAAGTTAGAACCGAACAAACCGAACCGAACCGTACCGAACCGACTTGCAACAGTTCGGTTCGGTTGTTCAAATTTTGGTAAAAACCGAACCGAACCGACCGTTGCACACCCCTAACATGCAGCTCCGTATCATAGTAGCTCACACTCTACCAGAACTCTGATTACTTAGATTAGGACAATATTTAATCTCATCTAGAATTAAGGACATTAATCTCAGACAAAAAGACAAAATCCCAAGCCATGGCAAAAAGCAAAAAAGATTAGGTGGTCCCCACCTCCCGACTACAACTCCCCCTAGCCTCGCTCGTAGTCGTCACTTTCCGCCTTGAACCGACACGTGTCGGTCCTACTGTCGGGACCGCGTACCTACGCTCATCCATTTTCTTTAAAAAAAAAGATTAAATTCAATTCAAAATCAAAATAAATCGAACCATCCCCTTCCTCTATAAATACCCCTCTCATTTCACTCCATCTCCACTCTCAAAAAAAAGACCAGCTTCTTCTTCCTCCTCTTTGATCTGCATTCAATGGCGTCCCCAACTCTCTACCTCTGGCCCAAGCCCACTTCAACCTCATCAGCCCAAGACCCAGAGCCCAAACAAGCTCCAAACCCACTTCCCAAACCCAAAGCCAAAAGAGGAGGCAGCAGCAACAAAACCTCATCGACCCCCAAAAAAACACCACAGCGAGGCCTCGGAGTCGCCCAACTCGAGCGAATCCGCCTCCAGGACTTCACAAAAGTGGGCCCCGCCGACTTCCGCCGCGAGATCCAGCCATTTCCTGTTAACTTACCGTCGGTGTACGAGCAGCAGGGGCTTATGTATGGTACTCCGGTCTCTTGCGCTGGTGGGCCCACACCCATCTACTGCATGCACCCTCACCAGTATCGGGTCGGATGCGGCTACGCTTCGGCGATCCGGTCGGTGCTTCACGAGCAGTATGCGATGGATCGGGTTCGGGTCGGGTCGGGGAGCTTTGTGTCGGCTGAGCTTCCTTCAAACCAAAGGGTTGCTTGTGTTTCCGATTGCTGCGAGTTCTGTGTTAGGGTAAAAACATTTCTCGAATCTTTACATTGTATAATAGTTTGGGTCTTATGTTTATAAATTCAAAGTTTTATTTGGATTAACTTAAGTTGTTATATTTGTTTTAGAAGTGGGTTTGAAAATACTTAGTGTAAAGTTTTGGGTTTGTCAAGAATGACAACAAAAACCCTTGTCTTATTTTTCTGTTTTAGGTTATTAACTTATCTTTTAGTTGATATGCTATACATTGTTATATTTGGTGTATAAGTAAGTATATGTGAATTTAAGTTGCCATATTTGGTTTAGCAGTACAATATTTGGGTTTAATATGTTGAGTTTAAAAAGCAACTATTTATGTATACTTTAAGGGGTTTTTATGAATGATTTAGAAAGTGAATGGGTTGAAAATTAGGGAGGGGAAAGCTTTGGGTTTATAAATGAAAACCCTTTTTCTTGTTTCTATGATTTTAGGTTAATAATATTTTTAGGGTAAGACTTGTACACTTTTATGTATTATTTATGAATTTTTATTCATAGACCTAATGTTTTACCATAAATGTCTAAGTTGCTATATTTGGTATGGCACTTGCTATGTTTGGGTTTCGGATGTTGAGTTTAAATAAGTAATTCAATGTAGATATTTTAATTGGGTTTAAGATTTTTTTTTTGAAAACCAGTGGGTTCAAGAATAATTAGGTACAACACTGGGTTTATAGGCAAAAACTCATTTTCTTGTTTTCTAGATGTTTTTTGACAACTTTTTTTTTTCCTTTCTACGCTTTAAGGTTATTAATCTTTTCTTTGTTTGATGACAATTGTAGAAGAAGCGGTTGGTGAATGAGGGCATAGGTTTTAGTTGCGGGAATGGAGCGGACCACTGTTTTGTGATGGATGAGGTGCTACGTCTTACTTTATTCTTTAGCTGAAATATTTTTTTTTTGTTTGATTTTTTTTTTAAATATTTCCTTTATTTTTGTTAAATTCAGGATAGGAGAAACTTTGGAGAAAGTGCGAGGATGGGGAGCTTTGTTAAGGAAAGAGAGATCAAGGAGTACGAATTTTTCCCGCATAATTCGATTGAATCCAATGGTGAGAGAATGGTCGGTGATGTTGCTGCTGCTTCTGCTTCCTCAGCTGCTACTGCTTCGAACTTTTTGGATTTGTCACTTAAACTCTTCTAATTAGTGAAGAAGTGATCCTTAGCACTACTAATAGTTTTTTAACTTTTTTTACCGTGTTAATAGAAGGAGTAAAGGGGTAATATGTAATGGATACTTAACAGTGGCCGGAGTTCAATATGAAGTGAGTTAATGTTTCTGGATTTTGTTAATTTTGTGGCCTTTGTAACTAAGTACGTAAAGCAATGACATATAGTAAGTTTAGCTATCAGTTTATTGACATTAATTGTGTTTCAATTTGCGGAAATATCACCTTACCTTCATTTTGTTTTGATCTTTTTAATTTTATTTTTTTGTATTGTCTTAAAAATGGTAACGGGAACATGGGCAAGTACTTTTACGGCAGTAAGAGATTAGTAAGCCTATATTAATGCATTTTATGCTTTAAAGCCTACTATATATGAAAAGTTTAATTTCCTGATTCTACGACAGTAGTACTTGTGCCACTCTGATTCTTATTTATTAGTTTTATTTATGATTGCAACTGCCGTTAGTGTGAAATAATACTTCCGAGTGCCTAGGTTTGTTGTGAAAGAAATCATAGATCGAGCCACTTTTGTCATGTCCATAATGGTCCCATAATGGTGCGTAAAGACGAAGAGATTCTAAGTTTCTCTGGGGATTTCATGTTTGATGAGCTGAGGAGTACAGTGGAAGTTGGTGGTTTTATTGCCATAATAGTGTAAATAAAAAGTTAGAACAAGAGTAGAGGAAGGCAGGACGCATAGGAGAAAGGCAGTACTCACACTTACCTCTCTTTTGTTTTTCCTTCTGTCTTGAGTTCCTTTTCAGTGAGATTCAGTTGCTCGATCATTAATCATGAATCATGAGAGAGAGAGAGGGAGAGGGAGAGAGAGAGAGAGAGGAGAGAGAGAGAGATTTTGTTTTTGTTTCCTTAATTTTCAGTGGGACTCAATCCTTCAGCTAGATGGCCTCAATTTTATTGTCTCTAATAGTTCACTGTATCTAGGAACCGTTAGGCTCGCATGCATACCATAGATATTCTTCAGCTGAAGCAGGAAACATCTGATCTAGCTAACTTTGATAAAAATTGCTCTAAATGAGTACTCCTAGTTAATTTAGAGATTAATGACTACGTTGTTCGATATTGGTACTTATAAATATCAGTTTTTATGAGTTACCTACCATTGAATTTTCATAGGTTTTTTAAAATTTTATCAATATAACATGCGATCATATTCTAGAAGATTTAGATATTATATTCTAGATTGGATAGTACTTATCATATTTAGGTGTTCATACTAACTTTATATATCTAGCTCATATTAGTCAATAGCAAATCAGGCGAACCATGCATTTCTGGATAAATTGAAGGGTTAATTTCGTAACCCCTGATCCCAATCCTTTTCTATTTCAGAAATTACTCTAAACTTTGAACTTTTATCACCGAACCTCCTACATATAATTAGCGAATAATAAAAATATCCTCGAGAGCAAAAAACTCCGTCAAATGGTTAATTTCTTGTATGGTGTGGGTTTTTTTACTCTTAATTCCATCCTCAGTGAGTCTAATATTTGTCCAAAACAGTTTTCTCATTCTCCCCTAAGGATAAAAGGATAAAGTAAATGAGTTAGAAAATAGTATTGTTCTTGCTCCAAAGATAATAAGGAATTCATTAAGTATATATAAATATAGTTTGATGAACTGGATGGCTTACCAAAATAACCAGCTGGCTTTTTTAAAGCAACCCTTTCCTTGATATATATTGAAAAGCTTGACGAGGTTCTTCAGTTGGAAACAAATTAATGTTTACACAACAAACCCCCATACAAAATTGAAATTGGGTCTCTAAAATTATTGCTTGAGGTCATATAATAATTCTATTTCAAGCCTTAATTTTTGTTTAATTTACTGTTAAAACTATCATACTTCTATTTCAAGCCTATCATAGTTCTATTTTAGAACATGATTTTGATAGGTTTAGCAGTATGTTAACAAATATTAAGAGCCAAAATGTTCTAAATTTAAAACGTGAGTCTCACATGAGTATTTTCCCTTGCATAACTTGGGGTATAAAAGTACAAATTTTTAAAATTTGAGGGCATGTGAGTGCTACCAAAAAATATTGAGGGTATGTAAGTGTAAAGCAGGGGAAACTATATGACACTTAAAAGTACAATTAAGTCCATATAAAAATATCAAACACGTGATCAAGAGTATTTATTTAGACCTTATTATCAGCTTTATCAAGAGATGCACACGGTTCGAATACGGCTTGGATATGATAATTATCATATCTGTGTCCGCTTACCAATCTCGGATATAGATATATATACGGATACAGAAATGGATATGATTCAGTAAATAAAATTCATATTCATATCCGTTAAAATCGGATACGGATACCGATATAAAAATTGATACAAAACAGATATAAGAAAATTAGAAATTATCAGAAAAAATATTGTTTATGTAACAGAAAAGGCGTTCATTCACATATGTTCATTACATATGGAAACCTAAAATTAGATTTCTTGGTCATCAAATTAATTAGACTATGAAGAGAAAATATAGCACAAACTCAAGTCCCCCCCAAAAAAAAAAGAAAAGAAAAAGGAAAACAATGGTGTTCATGCAAAAAGAGCAAAAGAAAAAGAGAGGAGGGCAGCATAAATTTCAGAGACTGTAATATTCAGTTTGGGCAACTACCTCAAAGGGTAGTTTGGTCCTTTCCAAAATCGGGGTTATTTATCATTCAGGAAACCTCCAAAGTTCTACAATCCTGTTATTTGGATTTGTTGCTATATCTTCAAATGATGTTATGTCGAACTGATGAAAGCTTAATTAATTGGATGTTTAATTTCCTTTTATTTGGCTTCGTAATCTCTCTCTCTCTCTCTCTCTCTCTCTCTCTCTCTCTCTCTCTCTCTCTCTTTTCTACAATCCTGTTATTTGGATTTGTTGCTATATCTTCAAATGATGTTATGTCGAACTGATGAAAGCTTAATTAATTGGATGTTTAATTTCCTTTTATTTGGCTTCGTAATCTCTCTCTCTCTCTTACTCTCTCTCTCTCTCTCTCTCTCTCTCTCTCTCTCTCTCTCTCTCTCTCTCTTGATAATTTCCTTTTGTTTGCCTTGTGATATTTTACAATCTTAATTTGCTTTGAATCTTTATGCTTTTTATATTTTTCTTGATCTAAAATGAATATGTCCGTAAAATCATAGGAAACCCTCCTAACAATTTAAAATTGACGCTTTATCTCTCTTATTTTCAATTAACCGTCAATTTGGATGCAAACATCAGTTACTGATATAATAATCATAAATACATTTACACGAGAGTGCGTACAATTGGCATGTCTAGTGATATTAGCTTCTACGTCCAATTTATTTTTTTGAAATTAAAAAGAGGAGAGGAACTTTCAATTTTAAGACTTCAGAGGGGCTTTTTGTCAATCATGCAAATCTCACCGGACTTACCCTAAATATATTGATTAATCATGTTTTGTTTCATACACTTCTTTAAAATAAGTTCCATGCAAATAAATGATTAATATTATGTTGTTATTTTATTCTATAGGAAAAATGGAGGAAACAAATAATAGATCAAATGAAAATGTCTTAAGAAGCTCAATGAAGCCGAAGAAAAGCTCAAGTAAAGCCCAAGAAAAATTGGAGCAAAAATGATCATGATAGCTCATCGTCAGAGGCGCTTTAGCATTTTTCAAGTAGAAATGTGTAGAATAATTTTTTTGATCTAACAAAGAATTATATAATATCGTATGACTTTTAGTTACGAATCTAACACATCAGGTTTGAGTCAAATTGGAGTTATATAGCTTAATATATAGTCATTTTAGTGAACTGATGGTAGAACTGTAAATATTCTGAAATCTGGTGCACAATTTTCTAGATTGCATCCCATGGCCAAAAATTATTTCTTAGGCCTAAGTTTGATCTAAAGGCTTATAATGATTTATATAATCTATACATAGGGGTATAGAGTGAGGGCGAGAGGTGAAAAATCAGTTTTGCAACAAAATAAAATTTTTTGTCTTTTTAAAATTTTTTCTCGTATTGAGACTTGGAGAAATTTGGATCTATACAAGGAGCCAACTTCTTGCAATGTGAGTTTTTAATTTTTAAATTTTCTTGTTTAATTAGAATTGCATGTTGAGGAAATATTCTAGATTTAATTCATGGTTTTCTTTGCTTGTTTATTTTCATACTTAGTTAGTTTTTTTTTTTTGTCTAATTTAGGAGTAGATTTAATTTTATGCTTGGATAGTAGTTTATTTTCTTATTTTTATTTATTTTTTATGATTAATTTTTTTTCTTGCCTTTCCATTCATGCTTTCTTTATTGCTCATAATTTAGGATTTAATAAAATGTATAACTAAATTTCTTAGGATAATTAGGATAAGAGGAAACTAATATAACTTGTTTATTAGGAAGAGAATTGCTCTTTGTTATGCCTTAATTATTTATGTAGAGATTAATTAATCAAAATAATAGTTGATAGATCTTATGTCACATAAATCACTAAGTATAAACCTTTTTCTAGAAAGCGGCACATGTCTCGATCAACTAGATAACAACCCGACCCTAGCCTTTAGAAGGCTAGATCGAAAAATGCCTTCACTCGTTCTCGTCCATAAAGACCGAGACAAAAATTTCCTCACTCAAGCAGTCTCAAATATCTGAGGCATCCCCGCTTAGCAGGCTGAATCAAAAGGCATCTTCACTTGATCTCTCTCGAAGGACCGAGACGAAAGATGTCCCCTCTCAATCTCAGCAACAATAACTAGTCATTATCATAGTAAATGCATAGTCAAAATCATCATTGCATCTCCTCTAGAGTCATAATGACTCATCGGACCACGCTAGCACTATAGCCCCTCCGTCGTCGCCATAATAAATACAAGGATGACCTGGATCACCCACTGCCGACACTTGTAAATTATCATCTGGATAAGCCGATTGACTGGACTCGGCCAAAGTTATGCAAATGCCCTTCTAGATCTAGTATAAATAGGCACATTGTCTACTGCATGAAGGTATGCAAATTCTGTACATTTAGAGAACAAAATCAATCTTTCTTTCCTCTTGAGATCATAACTAACTTGATTGTCAGATGAATCATCGGAGAGCCCAACGTCTGTCCTCTGACGCTTGTGTGCAAAACTCTTTTCCACTCAGAAAATAACCATTAAAGGAGATTAAGGGACCCCCAAC